GATGACATGACTATATACGAGTTAGTCAAACCCAATGATATACAAATGACCACTGGTAAGTTAAACTCGTTGTTAGAGATATCGGAACATTGGTCAAATGAAAATCATCTGGCCATAAATGCAATGAAAACCAAATTTTTAATCAGCGGATCCAAAAGACAGTACGATCGTCACCAAATTGAGAAAAGACCATATCACTGTCATTGGGAGGAGAATGTATCAAACTGGACAAAAAACCACGTCTTCTAGGAGTCTATCTCGATAAGCACTTGGATTGGTCCAATCATTTGAAAGAACTCTCCTCTAGCTGTTACGGAAAATTAACAGTTTTAAAAAAGCTGAAGCATTTCACGACCTTAAAAGTCAGAAAACAATTTGCTGAAAGCTTAGTGTTGACAAAGGCTGATTTTAATGATCATGTTCACACACCACTGGCAATCACCCAAACAAATAAACTGCAATGATTGCAGAAATTTTCAGTGGGTTTTGAGCTTGGTCGGTATGCATTTCAGCTGATATTCTCAAACTTAATTGGATTCCAATAATGGAAAGAAGAGAGTTTAACTGCATGAAATGACTTTCAAAGCCATTCACAACGAGAATTGGCCTTCCATTAACCGCATCGAAATAAAAAAGACCAGTGGTACTCTTCGTAATACTAACGGACTGAAGCTGAGCGCATCAATGATCAGGGATACCTTTCAAGACACCTTGTATGTATACCTTGTATGTATGTATACCTTGTATGTATGTATGTATGTATGCATGCATGTATGTAAGTGATGATTGGGTTTATATTTCGATCACGCTGTTTGGCTTGCCCTACCCTCCTTCTTCATATGGCCACTGATAATAAGTTCAGGAGTTCAGGCCAAGCAAAGATTAGCAAAAGTCTTGATTTGAAAGACACCATTTTTATCATTGGGAAGAATAAAGTTTTAAAATGCTTTGACTTGTTTAATCTTACCGTGACTTGTATGTGCCTCTTGATCCTGCGTGAAGCCATGTCTAAAGAAAGGACTTGCTGCACTAAGGACGATTCTGTGAGCAAGATATTCCCTGTCTCGACACACCAGCACAACATCACATAGATAATTTTTTTTTCTAAACGAGTTCAGCATATTTGCCAGGCTTGTTTCATAATTTTCAAGTTTGAACTTTTCTCCGGTGGGCATTCCCAATGTGTCCGCCATTGCTGAACCGCAGATTGTGTGAAAGACCAGGGGACCAAGGAAGCCACAATAATTGCGTTCGGAAAGGCTGATCCCAACAAGAAATTTACGTCAGTCACATTTTGACGATTTGCTTTTTAAAAAATAACTACACAAATAAATTCATATCCTATGCCATGTGATATAGACAAAAATTAAGAATCAGCGTTTAAATTGAAAACCATCATAAAAGATAAATTGGCACCACAAAACTGTTGACATAAATTAACTTAAAATATTAATAAAATATTAAAACCAACACTTTCTTCAACTAAAATTTCGAATTCTTACAAAAATCCAATAACATGATGTTTGACTGATACAAATATAAACTATTTTCTACCTTTTTACGGATAAATTTGGCATGTGCGAGGAATAAAAATATATTCTTGCTGTCAATAGTAAAGCAAAATACATACTTTAAAATAACTTGACTTCTTCCTCTTAATTACAGATTTGCAGGGGTACATATCTCATGATTAGGGACGCCGGAACGACCAAGGGGCAAGAGAACAGGCTTGAATAAAAGGGCATTTTAAAGATAACCCCCAGCTTCTACTAATTCCTTCTACTGACTGCCACTATATTACTAGAAATAGCTCTTGCTAGTACTGCCCGCAAACAATTAGTTCCTTGATAATGATTGTTTTGAAAATGTAGGTCAGGATATTCGAAGGAGACACCATCTTGGGTTTTCACAATTCTATAAAAACAGCTGCTCTAGTTGAAGCTAAACTATTCTTTTTATCAAGAATTTTTGGTTTTCAGTTTGCCTTTGATTTAAGTCCAACGCCCTTTTGAAAATCATGAAGTTCTTCGAGGGTTTGACATTTATTTTTCGATAATCACGAAAATCATAACTTTTGCTCGTACGGTCTCGAGTTTTTGGGAGAAAAGTGTGGCATTCGACTGGTTTTGATTCCCAAAACTTCGAATAAAACTTCCATCCATTGCGGAGAACCGAGCTGTGATGCAGCACCGTTTTCGTGCCAAAAAAACCGAAGGCCTTTAACAGAGTCTTGGCAGAGCAACGCTCCGAAGATAATTCCCTTCCGCACAAAGAGGTGGCGGTTAACGACCTCCTCGACAAAGCCGATTGATTGACAATGAAATTGATTGACAGTTGTCATGGCAGCAGAAAAGTGACAAAATCTGCTGAAAAAGTGCTGACAACATGAACTGAAGCTTCCATATGCTACTTATACGCGGGGCAGACTATAAGCCCTTCACTCGCGCGCTATCGCGCGCGAGTTGCGGGCAATAACTTTCTGTAGTTATCTTGAAAATTGGCTAACTTTGGAATAAGGATTTATTTTTCGGTTTTGAGAAATGTCGTCATGAATTAAGCACAATAATCAGAATTTCACATGAATATCTCTGATTATTACAATTGGCCGGCTTCAAGGGCACATTAATAAAAGGTCACTATGGCCCTTTTTGCCCCTATTATCAAAGGGCAACAGGGGCGGTTGCCCCCCGCGCCCCCCTTTTCCAGCGTCCCTGTTCATGTATTGGCATGTTGAAGGGTTAAAGAGAACCCCAGGGCTTGACGTTCTCATTAAGTCAATTTGGAAACTGCTTACTTTCTGAGAGGCGAGGGTTGTCTTCGCGAACAAAGCTGGCAGCATTAATTTTGAGCCTCAAGTCTTGATAGAGTTTACTTTGGTTTAAGGAAATTGAAATAATAGGACTTCTAATGGATAAAAATGTTACGCATGCTAAATGCCTCACTTGTTCTTTATTCTCTAAGTGATTACAACTATCAAGTAAAATCGCCAAATCTACTACTAAAAGCTTCAAGTCTGATTCCCGTAGTCTATATTCTATTTGCTTCGTAAGTGTTTGTATCGAAAATTCGGATGCCTTGGTCATAACTTCCAGATAAGGATTCAAGCAAGCTCTTCTAATCTGTCCAGCGGTCCACATACCAGGACAATATCGTGCAATTACTGCTGTTAGACTGCCTCGTATTTTTGCCTTTATTCCATTTATCCAAGCATGCACGTCCACTACACAACAACATTCTCTCTTTATGTCTTCCAGTGTTACCTCTACTGTTAAGCATCATCTGAAGTGGAATGATGTAGTCGAGGCGTTCAGCGTAGCACCGGATTGACTGCAACGGAGTAAGCGACATGCTTTCGCAGATGATAAGACAGCCGAAACTCGTACCAATGTAAACCTCGTTTTCAACAACAACAATAGTGTTGACTTGGGCATGCAGAGCTAGAAGTTATTATGAAAATAAGTTAATAAGGCAGGTGGATTTCTAGAGATAAAAGTTGAGTTCGATCTTCTTGCCCCCAGGCAAGTTACATTACACTATCTACAAATCATTTGAATTCGGGGTGAATTTCCTGGGTTGAGAAACCCTAAGCAGAGGAACAATTCAATTTTTTACAAAAAGCTCATGAAAACCCTAGCCAGAACCTTGACAATATTTTTGCAGATTTGCTTATTTGCAGGTCGTGACTACTGCGTTAAAAACAAACTTCACCACTAAAGACACAGAATTTGCGAAAAGACCGGAAATGAAAAAGACCGTAAGCAGACGGGTTGGCCTCATAAGCAGACGGGTTGGCCTCAGTAAATCAATGAAAAAGGTGTACCTTTCATTGCCTTTTGCCTTGAAGTTGCTTTGGTCGAATTCACTGGAATAAAACAATAACAACATCGATATGCGCGTTGAATCAATAATTGTCTGTAGAAAGAATAAAGAACACAGCAAATGAAAACTGTGTGAAGTATTCTCTATCCAAATAATTCTAGGTGAGATAGATTTGGCTTTTGTGTGCTTATGATCTTTATGCACAAACAACACAAACTAGCAAAGGCTAACAATACTTGGAAAAACGTTTCTGCAAAACTACTTCGGATAACTGCGATCTCTGTATAACTTAACGGAAAAGTCTGTATAACTTATAAAGCAAACATATTGATATGAAACATTCTTGCTGCTTAATCTTGAGGTATGTGTTCTCTAAATTAATTTTGATATGGTTACACGGTGTAAATTGAGAACCTATGTTCTTTTTACTCAGCTACATTGGTTAACGAAACCTCAAAAGTAAGGACAGAATTTCCTTTCTATCTGCATCTGACCTGCCATTATCAACGTTGTTGCTATTTTTCATAAGAAACACTAATAACATTAAAGAAGAAATCTTATTGAAATTTCAGAGAACGAAAACTCAATGGGAAAGACATTGCACCCTATTTTTACAAGTAACTCACGTGCTCGCTCAGTTACACATGTCAGCGTGTTTAATTCAGCTTCCAGTCTCCTGTTGTCAACATTCCACCTGTACACATGGGTACCAGGGAATACTGTTACCCAAACCGAAGTCGATTCTGACTCATCAGCCTTTCGAGAGGGTGTATTTTCAGTTGAAGAATCATGAAACACTCTTCGTGTTTCAATGCATTTTACGCTGTGACCGTGAATGGTTGGGTTGTCAATGTCACAGCCCGTAGCGGCAAGGATGTGAACCTGAAGGACAAAGAAAATGGATGGAGCGCTGCAATTTTAAATTTAAGTACGAGAATTTCAAAAGCAATGACGAGAATGCAGCACAATAGTAAGAGGAGCCTAGAACGAGCGAATGTTGACAGCTTTACCTTTTCCAGTTTGTTCAGATCGAATACATTGATGATCCCTTTGTCAACGCCGCACCACAGCTCATACGTGATTGTATTTTGTCTCTGGTTAATCTCCTGCATGTAATCATCCAGGCCGTATTTGTGGTCACGTGATGAAGATGCTAGCGGCTCGCCCCCATGCCCATAATAGGTCATCTGCTCTTCAATTGGGTAACTTCTTGCTCGACTGGGAACTGCTGCCAGGCAGTGAATGGGGTTATAAATAGACATCCCAGCATGCACTCGATTCGCAATTAGTTCTCGAATCGGCTCTAGGTACAATATATTTCCAAAATGTTTTGATACTTCCTTTTGAGGTATTGTGTGCATATAAGAGCTAATGTTTTCATTGTAGCTCATGATTGAGTCATTTGTAAGGCCTACCAAAACACAATGGCAAGCTGGTGAATGCAACATGCTGATTACACTGCCACTTCCAGAAGGTCGTGCTAGCGCCAAGGGCTTGTATGTCATAGAGCAATAGACTTTTATCGCACCCGACTTCATCCCGACCCAAAGCGTACTTCCCACAGCACATGCAACCAAAACAATGTCATTATTTTGTTTGGCGGTGACTAATGCTTGTGCACTACCTTCTAGCATCTGGCCACGCCCTCTCATCTGACTTTTTATTCCAAGACCTGCAGGCCTAAACTACCACCACGTCACCGCCCCCTTATTAAACCACGCACTTGCTAGCGTGTAAGCAATGGTTGGTATTGCTGAGGTCGATAACATCATTATAGGTCCTTTCAATCCATTGGTAACGCATCATCTACTAATATATTGCTCGATGAGATAGGTCTACTTCAAATAGAATATCGGGCACAGTGACTTTCTAAAAAATTCCAAAATAAGTATCTCTTTGAATAAGGACTTCCCAGCTAAATTACATATTAAAACTGGTTAGATAATATTGATAAAAAGAACAGATATTACTATGGCGTCTAAATCATATTCCGAAAATTTCTAGCACTCTAAATTAAACTAATATTTCATTTGTCTTAAAATCATCTGATAAAGCTATCAACTGTTATTCTACTGCAATCATTCTATATCTACTCGCAATAAAGTTTTAAATGAAAAATCAAACTAGAATTTCATATCCAGATGTTCTTGCAGCATCAATAAACAGTCCTGCCAAGAGGGGGGATTGCCCCAGGCCTAAGCAGAAAGGGGCCCTAAAAAGTTATAACAATCATGGTTTTAATGATGTCACATTTCTTTTTGCCCTAGGCTCCAGAAAAGCTCTCAGCTGGCTTGGTGACAAATAGAATGGATCCAAGAACTAAATTTTTTGTGAGTTCTTAATTTGTAAGCAAAATTTGATTCAGAATGACATGAAATACATCCTTTTTTAAAATGAATGTAAGTTGCGTCTGCAGGATGGGGAGAGATGTGACATAGACTTTGGTACCTAGTAAAGTTCACATATTTACCACTCAACCTCTTACTTCAAACTATGGCTATCTGCAAGCTCACCTGCACAATTCACTATGCATCAAAAATCTAATATTACATTATTTAGGACTAATTAATCATTACTTCACAAAATTTATACCAGGCTTTTGATAAAGGGAATTGTTGCCTACATCTAGAGATTCTGAAAATTGGTTGCCAGCAGGGCCGGTTCCATGGGGGGGTGTGGGGGGGGTGTGACACCCCCCCAAGAATTGAGTTTGGCGATTTACTCGGTAAAGTTCGATTTTTGGTCGGTAAAATTATGTTACGAAGTTTTATATTAAATGCTGTGTAGTGCATCACTGCGCAAAAAGCAATTAAATATGCATAACATTTTGAATATCTAGTTTTCTTCATTATTGCCCTGTGCCTACAAAGACCATGTGATATTTGCTGGTGTGGTCTCATTCGGTGAGAACCTGAGAAACCATTTGTGTTTCCTGCTTACTCTATTGTTCCCTATTGTTCGAATTCCACTGATCGATTTATTCAATAAAACTAAACATAGTGACTGACGCCACCTGTGAAGAAGGCGCGAAACCCGCGAAGCAACATTCTCTGGTAATCCTTTATCTGAATGAAGCTGAGCTGACGAACAAAAGTAGAATTGAAAAAAATAGTAACAGTAATAAGTATTACGCTACTTGAAAGGGAAACGGCAGCTTTTCAGGTAACTCAAAAACTTGCTTCAAATAATGATCTTTCTGTTTTTTGAATTTTATTTTCTGAAGACATATCCATATAATCATTTGTTTTGAATTTTGTAATTCTCGCGTAAGCCTGTGACAAAAAGTCTAGGCCTGTTTGAAAAGCAAGATTTTCCAAGATTTGACAAGGCCTGAGTTTGAGCTTTTGAGAATTTTTTCAAGTGGGTCTCTTCATCTGAAGTAAAACTGAGAACAATTATTTTTACCAGGCTATGTTTCACTGCTATGAAAAGAAGACAAGTAAAAATAAGATGCAAGGCAAAAGGGTGTAATTCCCAGTTCAACAGTGACTATCGCCTCCAACACAATAGAGAGAAACATGAAGGCAAAAATGTGCCATATGAAACCGCAGGTGCAGTTAAAAACCCTTTCGAAGCAGCTAAACGCAAGAAAGATAATCCAATTGAAGAAAAAGATTCATCTTCTTCATCTTCATCTGAGAAGATATTGGATGACAAAACCGAAGAGATTGGGTTAGCGAATTCTGCAAAAGAAGAATCAGTATCTAAAATTAGTAATGTTGTCGGTGAGAATGTGGTTGATGAGGAGAGCGAGAGTGAGGCTGAAAACTCCGAAAACGATGACACCGATGATGAAAATGATGATTATTGGATTAGCTGTGCGGGAAAGCTCAAGCATCTGCTATCCACTTTGGAGCAAAGAGGTAATTTGACGTTAAACATTCTAACACAACCATGTACCCCAAATATCGAAGAGTTTGCGATATCTGCAAAAGAGTTTGCCAACGAGATTAAAACCCAGTGTAATGATTTAGAAAAATCTGCTGAACGACTTAAAGTCAAAATTGACAGGCAAAAAGGATCTGTACAACCTGGAGAAGCAGCAGCACTAATAGAACACGACCCTGGAAAAAGAAAAAAAGATTTGTCGGATAGCCAACGCCGTTTTGTGATAAACCTAGGTCCCTACCAGCCTCGCTTGACAGTTTATCCAAGTAATGCATTCATTGAATCTGGTAAGCAAAATAAGTTTTCAAGCACCTGGTTCAAAGATTTTCCACATCTTGAATATAGCGTTCAAAATGACGCAGCATTTTGCTATGTTTGTTCCTTATTTCCAAACGGCGCTGGAAGACCCTCTTCAGATGCTTCATGGACTATTAATGGCGTTAGACAGTGGCACAAAATGAAGAGTGTTGGAAAAGGAAAGAAGGGCAAGCTGATACAGCATTTCACCAGCCAAAGTCACAGAGAAGCATTACGAGATTTTGCAAGATTCACTAACCCACATCAGAACATTGATGCACTTTTGGATTTGTCTCGTCGTCATGAAATGATTAAAGAAACTGACGACGCAATGTTTAACACCAAAATTATGTTAATATTATGTGATGCTGCTCGCACCATGGCTATGCAGGACCTTGCATTTCGTGGAAATACTGACGAATCCAGCAACTTTCATGAGATTGTGAAGTTAATCAGTCGACATTGCGGCATTTTGAAATACTGGCAGAACCAAACAAGGATGCGACCATACCATGTTACCTATATGAGCAAAGACACCCAAAATGAGTTGATAAAGTTGCTAGGTGACGCAGTGAGGCATCGTATGGTGAAGGAGCTAGAGGAAGTCTCAGCGTTCTCAGTAATGGCTGATACTACCCCGGACACAAGCAATAAAGATCAGATGGCAATTGTTGTAAGATACGTCATCAATGCCAAGCCGGTTGAGCGTTTACTGTGTCTGAGGATTCTCAAAGACAAGTCCGGAGAAGGCCATGCTGCAGAAATTTTGAAAGCTCTCAATGAGTGTAGTGTGGACCCACAAAAACTCGTCTTTCAATCGTACGATTTTGCGTCATGTATGTCTGGAAAGTATAAAGGATGCCAACGAGTGCTAAGTGATAAAATTCAAGAAGATTTTCCACACAAAAAGGAAATCCTTTACATCCCATGCCAGGCTCACAGGCTGAGTACATATGTAGAACGAAGCTCCAAAGCAAGCAGTCTTGTATCATCGATGTTTGACATATTACAGTCATTGTACACATTCTTTTCTAGTAGCACCAAGCGATCTGAAGCACTTGAAAAAGCACAAGTTGAAATAGAAGGGGCCTTGAAGATGCGAAATCTTTCGCAAACTCGTTGGATTGCTAGATCTGAATCTATTGACAGTGTCTGGATCTCTTTGACAGTAATCGTCTCGCTGCTCGAGCAGATAATGGATAGACAACTTGACTGTGACAAAAACACACAGGATCAAGCCAAAGCAATTTTGAAGAAAATGAAAACATTTGATTGTGTTTTCAGCTTGGCTACTATGAGATTCATAATGCGGCGCTGTAAGGTTCTGGTTGTGCAACTTCAGGAAGAGGGTTTGAATTTACTCGACGCACTTGAGCTAGTGTCATCGACAACTAGGGCGTTAGAAAAGATTCGAAATGAAGATGACGTGCAAAAGCAGATTGAAGCTGCCACACAAATTGCAATGCAAATGGGAATAAATCCAGAAGAGGAGTTTCAGCACCGCCACAGAAGAAGATTGATTCCAAGAAGAATTGATGAAAACCGAGACAACGAGGAGGCATTCTCCTTCCAGACGTTTTATTCGAAAGAGATTTATTCTGTACTTGATCAGATAATTACAGATTGTAAAGAAAACTGGGGTAGCATTTTGAAGAAAATAAAGCCGTTCACTGTTTTGTTGCCTCCTTGGGATAACTTAAGGGAAGAACAAGCAGAGGATCTGGAGCATTTGTTGTCGGGGAAAGTTTCAAGTGGCAGTCTTATTGCAGAGCTTACTGTTTTGAGAGAGGACTTCCAAGAGAAAAAGTTGGTGAAGAGCATGACAGTCCGTGAAATTGCAAAGTTCGTATATAGTCGAAGGCACATTTATCCGGCAAGCAACACAGCATATACATTCCTTCAAACAGCACCAATTACTGTGGCTTCAAATGAAAGATCTTTTAGCAAACTAAAGTTGGTGAAGACTAAGCTGCGGAGCACAATGCTCCAGGACCGCCTGGAATCTCTGATGCTGATATCATGCGAGAAGGATTTCTCTGAAAATGTCAACTTGGAAGATGTTGTCAAGAACTGGATACACTTAAAAAACAGAAGAGTTCGATTTGACACTACTTAAAGTTAATTTATTCATATATTGCGCTATAAGAACTGAAAAAGAGGCTGGGTCAAAAGCTCCTAATTAAATGACTCGCAAAAATCTGAGGGTTATTTTTTGACCCACCATTGACTCTGTATTTTTATTAGAACGTGCTGTATTTGGTTGAAACGCTTTTTTCAGATTGAAGTTAAAATTAAAGTTCTTTCGTTAAAGTTAAATTTCTTAAATTAAAGTTAGTGTAAGTCATTTAGTTGTTAGTTCTGATCACGATTAGTTGAGCTCAAAATTTTTGGTATTGTTTTTTCTAAAATTACTCGGTACATAAGAGCTTACACCCCCCCCAAGAAAATTTCCTGGAACCGGCCCTGGCTGGTCCTTCTTTACAAGATTCTCGTCACTTTGCCAATAGGTTCAACAAACTATGAAAGATCTTTTTCAAAGCTGAGGATTGTAAAAAAATCGGCTATGGTCAACGATGGGACAAGACCGCCTTTCCTCTCTGATAACAATCAACGTCGAAAGTGATATTTTACAGTCGATAGACTGACTATAATGATATTAGCGATTTGTATGCTGCCACACCTCTTTTGAGGAAGATGCTGCTCTAGTAACGTTATATTTATAAGCATCATTTTAAGAAGAACTATTCATTTGGACGCGTTATATTTATTTAAGATTTAGCATAGATAAGTACAAAGTAGTTGTAATGGGTTTTTAAACTTGCCTAGAAAATGTTTTTTTGCTATAAACACTAACGTGATTTGTAGGGAGTAAATTTATAACTAGTTGTAGTTTTGTTCATAGCGTTTCATATTTGGTAAGTCTTGTTAGAATAAAGGCTGTTGGTTGATGTTGGCTGTTGGAGAATAAAGGCAATTGTATTCGGAGGACGAAGCTGGTAGGACGTGGCTTTTATGCGCTCTAAGAAATACTCTTTTCACTGCAAATTCACTCATATTTCAAATGGCAACAGACATTGAAACTGTTATGGAAGCTACAGAAATTCTAAGGAGTACAAGCAAAGGAAGACATATGGATTCAATCGCTAGCTTCTGCTTGTCGAAACATGGTTGGGACAAAACAAAGACAGTCGCCATCTTGGATCAAGCGGTAAACGAGGGGAAATTATACACTACCATGTCCCACAACAAAGTTTCCTATCGTATCAAAGACCAGGAAAATATAGACACTGAGAATGAAGATTTTAACCCAACCTCCGAAAGAGATTCTGAATGGCCAAAGTCGAAGGGTTATGTAAACGTCGGCGACTTTAAGAGGATCCAAGCAGAACTCGAGGAATTCAAAAGATTCTCACATGGAGAAATTCTACTATTAAAGGCCCAAACTGCTAATAGACCAAGTATAGACCCTTCTGAAAGTGATAGGGAAGCGTTGCTAAAATGTCTTCAAGACCGTATTATCTCTTTGGAGCAGCAGCTGTTTGACAAACAGAAAATTATTGAAGGTCTGTTGAAAGGGCCTAGATTTGAAGTCAAAACAATTGATGGAAGCAAAAGCTGTCTTGACAACGAAATGAGACCTTCTCCCAGCGGAATACAGAAATTGGCAGGAAAAAGTGAAGCACATGTGAGTCCAATAATAACAAGGAGCCTGACAAAGAAGGCAGAAACTGAAAGAAAGCAAGCCAAAGATATTTATGGGCATGACAAGATGTCCCAAAAGCCCAGGTACAAAGTTAAAACACCAAAAGTTGCATATTCCCAAGTATCAAAGGACGTTGCAAAATCTGCAAGCAGAAATCCCTTAGCGTGGCAAAATCGCTTTGCCCTTCTGTCAAGCGATGATGAGTCAAGCGATTTGGAAACATCCAAAAACCATACTCAAACTCGCAGTACGGAAGCCAGCGAAGTGCAAACAGCAAAAGAGAGAAGGACAACAAAGAAAATCCAAAGGAGAGCGGAGAACAAAAGGAACAAGAAGAATATCCTTATTATTGGCGACTCCATACTTAAGCACTTGGATGGGAGAAAATTGAAAGGATCTCTGCGAAATGGGCAGAATGTCTATGTCAAATCTTTCAGCGGAGCAAATGTTGAAGACATGGCAGATTACTCAAAACCACCAATGAAAAAAAACCCAGACATTGTCGTTCTTCATGTTGGGACCAACTCGCTGGGAACAAACAAGCCAGCTGATGAAATTGCATCTGAAATCTGTGATCTGGCAGCTGATTTAAGAAACGGAGCAAATGAAGTTGTTGTATCAGCTATTATATCTCGAGGTGACGATTCAACGTTAAATACAAAAGCAAAAACTATAAACGAAAAATTGAAAACCCTGTGCGGAGAAAATAGTTTAGATCTCATCGAGCATCAAAACATCGATACAACTAAGCACCTAAATGGAAGTGCTTTGCACCTCAATAGAATGGGCACAGTCCTTCTTGCCAATAACCTTATTAAATATCTCAAAGCTCAGTGACGTGATGATGGGACTCATACAGCTAAGTACATTTGTCCTAATTTAGAAAATCAAAATACCAATGAAATTGCTAGTTCTGATACCGAAGATATTAACCCCCTTGCCAATCTATCAACTATTAGGAACAAAAACAAGAGAGGCCTAATTGTGGCACATCTAAATATAAACTCAATCCGAAACAAAATAGAGGATCTCAAAACCCTGATTGCAAAAAATGTTGACATCCTCGCAGTTTCTGAAACCAAATTAGACGAATCCTTTCCTTCTAATCAGTTTTTAATTGACGGTTTCAAAAAACCCTTCCGTTATGATAGAAATACAAACGGTGGTGGGATTCTAGTTTATATCAGAGAAAAAGTTCCAGCGAATGAAATTAAACAGGTGAACATCGCCAATTCAATTGAATGTGTATTAACTGAAATTAATGTGGGCAAGAAAAAATGGGCATTGATCAGTACCTACCGCCCCCCTTCTCAATGTGAAAAATTCTTCTTCGCAGAGATGGGCAAAGTGCTTGACCAACTTACACCTCGATACGAAAACTTCGTCATTATTGGAGATTTAAATTCGGAAGAGAAAAATTATGAAATTAGCAATTTCATGGATATCTATGGATTAAAAAATTTAATAAAAAGTCCCACTTGTTATAAATCTGCTGACAATCCCTCTTCCATTGATATGTTTCTAACGAATAAAACCTCTGGTTTTCAAAACACTACGACAATAGAAGTGGGATTGTCTGATTTTCATCTAATGATACTAACAGTGTTAAAGAGTGGTTTTGTAAAAAGAGGTCCAAGGATTGTGACATACCGAGACTACAGTAAATTTGATCCTATAAAGTTTCGCAGTGACCTTAGAAGCAATCTAGCTAAGAGCAGCGAAGCATACTCTGAATATGAAAATTTTAATTCTGTAGTCGAAGAAGTTCTGAATAACCATGTACCTCTAAAACAGAAATATTTACGCGCAAATGATGCACCCTTCATGACGAAAACTTTAAGAAAGGCAATTATGCTCCGTTCACAGTTACGTAACAGATTGAACAGGCATAATACTTCTGAAAACTGGAACGCTTTTAAAAAGCAAAGAAATAGGTGTGTGAAAATTCTGCGACAAGCAAAAACATCATATTATGGTAACCTTGATATAAATTCTGTCACTGACAATAAAAAGTTCTGGAAAACTGTAAAACCACTTTTTACTGACAAGGTACAAACCTCTTCAAGTATTACGCTTATCGAAAATGAAAAGTTTATTACGAATGACAGTGAAATAGCTGAGATCCTTAATGAATTTTTTACAAATATCACAAAGACAATTGACATTGCCCCTGGTGAATGCATTCTCAATTCGACAGACCATTTGCTGGATCCTGTTGAAATTGCTGTTGAAAAATATAAACATCATCCCAGCATCCGCAAGATTAAGGATAAGGTAAACCATGGCACATTCTTCGAATTCAAACCAATTACAATGCAGGCAGTCAATGATGAATTATTGAGACTAAATACAAAAAAAGCGTCTACAATTGAAAGTATTCCTCCGCGGATACTGAAAGAAAACGAAGACATTTTTGCACCATTACTGACGACAATTTTCAATAATTCATTGCTCCAGAAAACGTTTCCTGAAGATCTTAAAT